ATTCATTCACAATACTACTACATTAATGATACCATAACAATATATACATATATTGCTATGATATAATTAAGATTTTCTACATTCATTCATGTATAATCAACTCATTCATCAATGATACCAACACATTATTTATATATATATATATATAATAGCATGATATCAATGATAATGAGCAGTCCTTCAAGGAAGGACCTCATAATTTATCAATGATATCATCACATCACAACATACCATATACTAACATGGTATCATTAAGGAATGAATAGTTTTGTAAATAAATTGGTGAATTTAATATTTTTTTTATTAATCTAAAAGTAATTAGTTAATACATTTATATTTGTGTTTAATTTTTGTTTTTGTTAAAAAAAATATGTTTTATTTTAATGAATGTGTCAAATTCAAATACGATAAGTAAAAATGAATAGATGAAATAATAAATGAGAAAAATGATAAAAGTTACAATAAAAATAAATATATATATATATATATAAAGCTGGAAAAAAAATCGCTGATGTGACATGCTTCATTGGCCTCTATTACTATTTATTTATTTTCTTAGAATTTTTTCTTTTATTTTTTGTTCAAAAAAACTTTTTAAACATTTACTCTCTTTTCTTATTATTAGCAGTTACTCTCTTTCCTTACTATTAGCATTTTCACATTTACCTTTACTATCAAAATAAATTATGTAACGGCTAAAAACATAGTGGTGCATTTAGTATAATCATAACATGTAGTAATTTCTCCAATTAAATTATTATTAAATATTATTGGAATTAACACATTGATTAATTAACTCCATACAATTGACAGTAACGTTAATTTACTTTTATTACAAAATAAATGGTAGTTTAATTTGACAATATATATAAATTTAAATTAGCAATATGACGTTTTCCTAATCCGACATAACTGATTATCTACAAATTAGCACTAATTAGGAAAGTTTATTTTTTTTAATAATTGCAACATTAATGATTATATTTAATTTCTAATAGCTATTTAAACTCTATTAATCCTCACTATTTTCCTAAGCATATTCTCTCTACAGCTAATTAAATTCCTTCAAAGGCTTAAAGGTACATATTCATCTTCTATCTTATTAACAACTTTCCTCTTTCATTTCACATATGTAATCAGTTGCTACGCACTTTGATCTCTCTTCCTTTTTTAGATCATCTCTAACTACAGATGTCAAATTGTGGAGTGGTATTCGGCTAAAAGTTTATATTTTATATTAAGTTATTGGCAAATAATAACTTATTGCTTTATATTCTATGCATAATTGTATTGTTAGATTAGCATTTTGAGTGTTTTGAGCTTATTATGAATTTTATGTGTGTAGAAAATGTATCAAATGAACATGATAAAAAAAGAGGTGATTCTAGCTCCTTTTGAAACAAAGGAATAACGATTGAAGGATAACTAGGTCCATGCCTCGCGAGATACACATGTGAAGAAAAAAACAAGAGATTTTAAAGTTGATTGGATTTGCCACTGATCCTCTTGAAGTACAAGCCAAAAAAGATTATCTCAATGAATTTGGTTAGTGATTTGATTCCTAATGAAGAAAGAACATGTGAATTTTGATCCATTTTTTTATTTAGTATATGTATCAATTATTTGTTAATATATATGGCTTTCAAGTTCCAACTAATTATAGTCTCCTTGAGAATTATCATTATTTTATTTATTTTAAAATTTTCATCATTGAAATGATCTAATTGTTCATTCTTCATAAATATAATAGAAATTTGTTTCATTGAGAAATGCGTATATTTAAAAATTATACTAAGAATGTCTAAGAATTTTCTTCTATTATTTGAATTAATTAAATTGTTCCAATTCATATAAATGTTGAAATAGTACGAGGATTTTAAAAACATGATTTTGAGAAAAGTTAAGAGGGAGCAGACAAGAAAATTTTAAAAGCAATTAGAGAAGGGATACATTACTTTTGGTTAAAATGTTTTCTTACTAAACAAGTTGAGGCTTATAAAATTTCATGACATTGTTATTCATCAATACATTTTTAACCCTTTTAAATTTTACGGATTATAAATTAGTAGAAGATAAATATTTCATATTTTGAATATTTTACAAAGTTAGATTTAATTTTTTTCCTTTCACTTTGTAATCTATAGTTTTTTTTACATAAAATATGAGTTATATTAACAAATATTTTTTAATGTTAGAATATCTACTTTTAAATTTAAAAATTAGAGAATTTTGTAATTTCAAATTTTAAAAAATCTAAGCTATGAATTGAATTAATTATAAAATAAGTGATATGCAAAGTTTTCGAACTAATTTGAGAAAATAATTAAATTTGAATGTATAAATACATGAAGATTTCATCCATTAATTCATATTATATCTTGGATAAATTTGTAACGAGGTCATATCATATTCCTATTGTACTATTTCTATTATCTAATTTTTCACTTTTTAAAATCTTTTTCTCTCTTTTTAATTCGCTCTTTCTTAAGATTCAAATGATATCAATTTCGATCAAAATTTAGTTAATATATATCTTCTTACCCATATTGATAAATACATGAGTAAAATTATAATTTATAATACTTTTCATATATAAGCTTAGAGAAAGACACTGTTAGTTGACTTAATTTTGGTCATAGGATAATACTCCCTCCGTCCCATTTTATGTGGCAACATTTGACCGGGCACGGAGTTTAAGAAATAAATGAAGACTTTGAAATATTTACTATATTGCCCTTTAAAAAGTAGACTCACTTTTCTCTCTCCTCATAAATGTATTGGAGTATTATTTTAAGATTAAGTGGGACCAACAAGGGTAAAAGAGGAATTGTACCTTTAAATACTTACCTTATTAGGAAATGTGACTTTCTTTTTGGGACTGACCAAAAAGGAAATGGTGCCACATAAAATGGGACAGAGGGAGTAACTAAGAAAAGAGTTTTAAATACTTGTAATTAAATAAAGGAAAAATATTATTTCAAAATTTTAATCTTATAATCAAAAGGAATTGTAGTAAATATCTTTTAAGTTTTAACCATCTAATTGAAGAGGAGTGATTCCATTGTAGTGGGTACTTATATTTCTTATTTTCCCTTTATATGTTTAGTTTCATTCATTTTTTATTGTTTTATTCTTAATGAAGGAAATTTTTGGAAAACAAATATGTCATATATCTGATGAAAGAAACAAACCTACTACTATTAGAATCACATACACAAATACTGTATTTAAAAATGAAAATATTTTTATATATTTTCATTTTTTGAAGAAGATATAATAATAAAAAGAATACCATTCATCTAACTCTAATTTTAATAACAAAATTATATAAGAAAGATTTCATGAATATTTTTAACTATATTTTATGCATAGACATGAAAAGTTTTATCATATTTGTTTGACAAAATTTGTACTTTAGAAATATTTTCTAAATTGATAAATTTATCGCGCAAAGCGCGGATATATTTCCTAGTAATAAATAAGAAGGGGACAAAAGTAATCAATAATTGGATAGAAACAAATTGAAGTACAAAGATGATAAATAATAGGACAAAAGTAATAAGTTGAAGTACAAAGACGATAAATGATATTTCATTAGTCCCTAATTACTTGTCCAATTTTTCTTTTTTACTTGTCAATTTTGACAAATCAAGAAAGATCATTTTTTTACTTATTATACCCTCAATTAATTGATTTTGAAAAAGGTAGAACTTGTTGAAAATCTTAAATTTTTAATTCATCCACTTCATAATTAATAGGGATAAAATTGTAAACTCACTATCTCAATCATTGTTTCTTAATATGTGTGTCAATTCAAAAATTGACAAGTAATTAGAGACAGAGTGAGTAGGACAAAAGTAATAAATTGAAGTACAAAAATAATAAATGAAAAACAAAAAGAAGAACAAATTGAGTATTGGTTCATCCAAACTAAGGGAATTTTGGGTAAAAAATTTGGCTCGTGGGTCCAATAAGGATAAATATATTGGATTGATTTCAATTTGAGTAAATATTTTTTTCCTAGAGGGCTCAATTTGTATAATTTTCTCTTACTTTATTGTATATATTTGAAACTAGCCAAATAGTTAAGGAAAAATTACATGGTTAGGCAAACATATACTAGTTAATTAGTCATCATAGTCATAACTTTAGTTAATTACTACTCGCGACCAACATTCAGTGATAATTACGTGGGCCGGGGTTTCGAGTTTGTATAATTCGCACGTCTGTACAATTCGAAATTTGTATAACTTTTGTATAATGTAATTTTGTATAATATTATTTGTATAACTGCTTAAAGTTCAATTGTATATGTTTGTATGAGTTCGTTTTTTCGAGTTTATATAAATATAACTCAATTATACAAACTCACTAGCAAATTATACAAATCCGTGAATTATACAAACGAGGAATCTTAAATTATATCTACAACCCCAAATTATGCAAACTATAGCTATGAAACATAATTAAGTATATTATAATGGCTATTTACAAAAATTCCCCAATAATTATTGGATAAATTACAGAAATCACATATTTTTAAGACAAAATTACAATCTATCCTTTAAAAGTTTATAATTACAGAAATCCCTCAAATGGATATAATAATATAAGCGCTGATACATTAATCTGATGAGCGAGATACATTAATCGTTAAGTAAGATACATTACATTTTATACATGATACACTAATCTGATGTACATTTTATACATGATAGATTAATATGATGCGCGAGATACACTAATCTGATGCGTGAAAATGAGAGATTTTGGAGATTTGTAAAACTTATAGAGGATAATGGTAATAAGTAAACTAAAAGGTGGGATTTCTGTAATTAATCATAATTAATCCTTTCCCAAATGTAGCCCAAAGAGGCCCAAAGAAAATCTGGAATATTAAGATGAAGCCCATACCTTTAAAGAAGCCCAAATAATTTTGTAGTCTTCCTTTGCTACTTTCGTACTATTCTATCCCGCAATAGATTCAGAAGTGAGTGACAAATCTTTTGTGTGAATGTAATCGAAAGCAGTATGATTCAATGGAATTGAAGCTATGTCAATCCTCTCATCCATTGCCCTGTAAATCCTCTTCATTTAGAGCTAACTCCACATACAAGCACTTCAGTTTACTTCCTAAGGTTCTCTTCAACAGTTTTTCTCATTATTTCTGATTTTTTTTTCTTTCTTGCATGTTGTTTTTTTAGTCAGTAAAGTGAAAATATGTTTGAATATTGGCTAAATTGTTTCTGGGTTTTGTTGTCACAGAGGTGTAAATATCATATTCAGGAGCTTTTCTCAAATGGTCAACAATGGAACAGTTCCATTCAATTCTCGGTTCATGTGGTGAAAGAGTAAGTGTTCTTACACGAATGCCTTACTTGTGGGTCTATGAATGTTTCTTAGATTTGAATTGTATTTTGATGATTGGTAATAGCAGGGATGAAACATTGACTTCACTTTCAAAGTTATATGGAGTGCCTATTTATGAAATTGCTGCTGCTAATAAGGAAATTATTGATATTAACCTTGTTTTTGAAGGGCAACATCTCAACATCCCTTCCTATGTTACACCTTACTCCCAAACGGTAACATTTTCTGGACTCATTTGTTTTCATCTCAACAGTTAATATATGATTCATCTAATAACGGTAACAGTAAAATTTGAATCTTGGACTTCTACTTGAATTATGTGAACAACTCATCTAAAGGATTACGAGGTTACAGAGAACACACTTTTATTTACTATATTATATTATGTGTCAACTTAGTTGTAGTTATAGTTACGCTTTTCTTTGTATTCTACTGAAGAACTTTGATATCAGTTCATATCCAACTCACTATGGCACTGTTGTAGCTTCTGTTGTTGCCAAAACAAAATGTGTCTGTGGTCATCAAATTTGCTCTTTTGCTTTAATGTGTTCATCGCCTGTGCAGCTTGGTGCTAAATGAATTGGCTTGTGTTTTTGTATCTGTTGGAGCTCTACTTTGTTCTTGTCTAATAATGATGTTCTGTTATCTAGAATGAAATTGATGCGCTTGCTTTATGAAGTTTAATATATGTGACAATAGACCAACAAACTAAATGAGGGAAATGATGCAAGCTTGATCGAGTGATCTCTCTACTCACCAAGTCAAATAAAAGCCTGAACACAATTATAACAAGGTCAACATGACATATTTGCCTATAAAAGTCTTTATCTTGATTTGATGTCATCTAAGAAGGTAATAGGATGTAGGTGCTATGATAATTATTATGCTAAAATTGTAAAATGGAAGACCAAACAGAAAGTTTTGTAGTCCTTTGGTGTTTGTTTAGTTCATAAAATAAGTAAGTACTTCTTCCTCCAAGATGCTACATTGCTACTACAGGAAATAGTCAGTGCTTTAAGGCTCTCATCAATAGGATATCTCGTCATTCTAAAAGGTAAGAATAAGATCTGTTGGACTAGTTCCTTGGCAGTATTATGTGACTTCCTGATGGATTTTATAAAATACCTTGTCATTGGTAGCTAACATTGGAATAGGATTAAAATGTTTGCAATGAAGAATTTTTCCAAACTATCCTTCAGATTCTGTCATCTAATCTACCCTTTGAGCTATTATCCATTCTTGCCATATTATCTTCATGAATCATGCCAGATAAAGGGAAGCCATTGATTCAGTATGCTTCAGCTACATTGTGGTGTTTCTTTTAGCTGCAACTCTGAAGTTTGAACTCGTTATGCCATGTGAATGCAACTCGAAGACCACTTTATTTTCACTTAATCTCATCTGCCCTGCATGATCAAAATCAACTCATGAGACACTTGTTTTTTTCAATCAACTCAGCCAGACATTTTGGTAAAATAAACTTTCATCTCCACTTGGACTTTGGGATTATGTTGATGCTAGTGTCAGTATTTCCTTTAGTTATATTAAGCACATCCAAAAGATGTTTTGAAATCTCAGTTAGTTTGTCTAGTCATCCATTCATACCTCTTGGATTTTGTGGATTGACCAACAAGATTGGGCAACTCCTCGAGATTGATATTTCCAGAATATATCAAGATATATATTTGTGTATTAGCTTTGACAAAACCTTGTGATGGGCTGCATATTTCTAATGAAACTTGGATGAGCATTTATGTGATATAGCAGAGAAACTTTCATTAGCTAGACTCTTTTTGTAGCTGCAGTACAAGTAAAAGTTTTTTCTTATTTCCTTCTAATTGTAATGTGTAACAGTTTTTGTTTGCCCTCTTTTAGTTTGATTTTCCATGAAACTTTCATTAGCTAGACTCTTTTTGTATTCCAAGTTCTCTTATTGATTGTCAGTTTCTTTTCAGAATCAACGAGAGAAGATTAGATTACCTAAAATTGATGTGTCTGAAACAAGCCAACGCTTCAAACTCTGTGGCAACGATATCAACCAGAAGATGTTATATGTGCTTTCATGCCGTCATTTACCATATGTAAGGACTTCCTTGAGATATGTCGTATCTTTGTCTCGTTTAGTTACATTAATTATATGTATTGCAAATGATTAGTATGCAGATCCTTCGGAATGTTAATAGATATCTCAGCAGACTTGTCAATGTTATTATCAGGCTAAAACCAGTGGTTATTTTCTAGTTCTGGTTCCTCTGATAGGCTTTTGCATCAGATGCATAATGAATGCCTTTCACCATAGAGTTGCTAGAAATAAATTGCAAGATGTTCGTCAGGCATCTGGAAGCATGAGATGGAAATTAGCTCTTCGTGATTTGAGCGATCCAGATGCATTATATTCTGATTCAAGACCTGAAATTGAGGTAAGTATTCAGCGCAAGTAGCTAGCAAGAATTACTATCTTGTTTGTGGTCTTTCTTCAATATTCCTCTCTTGGTTATGTTTCTTTTAATTAATTCCATAATTAGCCCCCAAGGCCTAGCTCAAGTGGCAAAAGGTGGAGGATTTGTGGCTTAGATCGTAGGTTCAAGCCCCACAACATGCAAAGCGAAGCCCGGTATTTAAGTGGAGGGTAGAGGGGCGGGCCCATTATCCACTGAGTTTAGAAGGTTGTGATTGGTCCAAAGGGCGGGTCACAGACGGATTTCTTGGTTATCAAAAAAGAAAAAAAAAAAAATTCCATAATTACCTTGGTGGGGCTCAAATCAGCTCTGTAATTTTCACTATATGGCCTCTTTGGGAAAAGATACTTTGGTGACATGTTCTTTGCAATTTGCCACCAAATTTCGGGAAAACTAACAACTAGGTAATCTTTGCAAGTGCATGGAGTAGATGTTTTTCGTGTAATGTGTGTGCATTCATGCATCACATAAGCCTATTTTTCCTTGAGAACTTCATGATTATCAGGAGTGTTTGGATGAGAATTTTGTCATTTGATATTCAACAACACTAGTACTTATTATCTCATCATTCCTGTGCATCATATATAAAATTTAATGTGTGTTTGCCATACTTTCCAATTTACACGGTTTTAAGACTGCAGTGAACAGTATGTAATTCTTGCTTTGATTCTGTTACTGTTGCGAAATTTGACTGCAAAACTAACATATTGGAACTGTTGAACAGAATGTCACCGATGATAGAGAACATCTCCAATCTGAAGAGCTTTCTCGTGCTTATGCAAAACTGGACGGCGATTATCAGAAGTTCCTATCGGAATGTGGGATGAGTAAATGGGGCTACTGGCGTGGTGGTACAGATGAATAAGAATTCTGGAGTATGACTGTTGCTTTACAAATTACAATTTCTCTCCATTTATTGATCAATGCATATAAAGCAGGTTTATGGTGAATGTACATAGTACAGGCTCAGTTTATCAAATAGTATTGCCTAGATGAAATCATTGAACTCTGTTTGATTTTCTACCTATTCCTTTCATCTGAAATTAAGATTTCTTGACAAATAATCAGAGGCGGAGCCAGAATTTGATGTTTGTGGGTTCTAAATTTTAAAACAGAACAACATATTAATCTAATATAACAATTGTTAAATTACAAACATATATGTATATATATATAACCACAAACATATAAGCATATCATTAAAATTGCACTCGACAAGTTGCTATGCTTTGAAAGCAGAAATGATCCATCATTTGGTACACTTTCAAATACTTCATTTATTAATATGAAGCTTTGAGTTATTTATTTCAAAGTTCTAAAATATTATTTGGTAAAAGGTAGATAAGTGATATTTTAGTATAGATTTTGAACATTTTTTTTTCTATAATCCCAATAATATTTTAAGTAAAATTAAAATTATTAAATTCACCAATAATATTTTTGGGACCTAAAGGAAAGGTTTTACTTGCTTCACCCTTGAGCCACTCTTGCCTTGAAAGTTGAAGTTCCGAGAAGCAAACAATAATTTAATTAATATAATCAATTATTAATATGTGGAACAGTCTTAAAATTAAAGATTAAAAATAAGATCTTTGAATAATTTGTTAAACAATGTAAAGACAAATAAAAAAAAAAAGAGAAAAGGGAGAGCCGAAGAGGAACTGAGAAGAGTAAATAGTACTTACTGGGGCAGAGGTCTGCACTTTGACAACAAGCCGTAACAATGAAGTAGGTAGTAAAAAATTAGAACCCTAACTTTTTAAAAAAATAAATTTTGGATTTAATGTTTTGTGCTTCAAAAGAAATCAATAGTGAGATGTTGTTTTAGAATATGATCACTATATTTTTGTTACTTACAATTAGGGGTGTTCACGGTTTGGATAAAAACCGATCCAAACCGAAAAACCAAACCAAACCGATAAAATAAAATTGATTTTATTTGGGTTTGGTTTAAGATTTTTGAAAATCAATAGTATTTGGTTTGGTTATGGTTTTATTCGAAAAAACCGAAGAAATAATCGTACCGATGAATTATATACATATATTTTATTAATATACCTACTTAATATATTGTTTTTATAAACAATTTTAAAGATCTTATACATATTTTCATTAAATTTTCTTTATAATTTACTTATTGAAAGCAAAAATGCCCAAGATGAAACATTTATCTTATTGATTTCATGTTTATGAGTGTCTATGACAATTCTTTGTGGACTGAAAATGTTATTGCCTCTTCCTTCTAGATCAATATAGTGAATTTTTAAGCTTTATTGATAATAAATTTAGTGATCGAAAGTTCAGTAATTTAAGTCATTCTAACTATTTTTCGTTTTGAATGGATTGTTGTCACTTTTTTCACATTTTGAATGAATTGTTTCTTTTATTTTGTATATGGTTAATGACCGAATAACCGAACCAAACCAACCGAAACCGATAACCACCAAACCGATAAATGTATATTATATTTGGTTTGGTTTGGTTTTGATAATTTTAAAACCGATTAAGTTGGTTTGGTTTTGGTTTTGACCAATAACCGATCCAAACCGACCCGTGAACACCCCTACTTACAATTATCTATTTTGAAATTAATAGTCAGATATTGTTTTGGAGTATGACACTACTTTTTTATTATTCTCAATCATCAATTTTCTGTTTTATTGTTTGAGAAAAGAATTTAGAAAAATCTATATAGGAAAAATTGAATTAAAGGAGGGTAAAAGATAGGCACAAAGCACATTTTTAATCCAATATAAAACAAATTCGGAAAAACTGAATTGTTGCCAGTGGGGCTCGAACCCCCATCCTGAGACTCAAAACTTGCCCGCGCTTACCACTGCGCTACCCACCTTAGTTTGATGTGGGTTCGCACGCAATATTAACATATATTTGTACGTGATTTTTTAGAACGTATATAGGGTCTACGTAAAAGCCAGTGGGTTCGTCTGAACCCCTATTTAACACTGTAGCTCTGCCCCTGCAAATTAATACCCATCCGTAGAATTGAATGAAGCCTTTAGCAAAAAAATAAACATTTTTCTTTTGGCTTCCTATCTAATGTGTGGTATCGGCATTGGAGCCTTCCAATCCAGATTCGTGTCGGGTAGCGGGGTAGGGCCCATTTGGTGGTAGTGCTTCCTATCAATAATTTTGGGAAAAAAGAATACATGTACCCCAAAAAAGGAAACTATTTATAAGTCATTACTCCTTACTTTCATATCCCCTGTTTTTAACTACTAATTTGTGTTTACTGTTTGATATCATCAATATATATATATATATATATATATATATATATATATATACTATGATGGTACCAAAGAGGAAGAAGCATCACTTCAGTGAAAACACTGCTCAGTTACAGCTTGATACTATTAGAGTATATATATATATATATATATATATATATATATACTGCTTGTTACTATTAGAGTACATAAATATCATTAGAGTATACATATACTCTGATGGTATCAACAGTGGTTCAATGAATAGAAAAAGTGGGGCAGTCAGGTAAATAGTTTGGGTTGTAGGTCTAATCAGGGTAAATATATTGGGTTTTCAATTTGGGTAATACTTAAGTTTTTTTAACCTAAATACACATCTTAATTTTACCATGATTTCTAAAATTTTTGACCATTTAAAAATTTTCAAAAATCCCCTCTAGGATATATTGGTTCCCTCTCGATAATACATCCCTATCCCTCTCGGATACATCCCTCCCTTCTCAGATACATCCCTCTCTTATGTATCCGGATGTCCTATCCCTCTCTAATACATCCCTCCCCCACTCGAATACATCCCTATCCTATGTATCTGGATGTCCTATCCCCTCTATGATGCATCCCTCCCGTCTCGGATACATCCTTCACATATATATCCGGATGTCTGTTGATGTATCCGAAAGTTCAGTGATGTATCTGAAATTCTAGTGATGTATCCGAAATTCATAAATTTTAAGGGATTTTTTTAATTTGGAAAAGAGTAGGGAAAAAATGTAATTAGCTCTTAACACTATGAGATTTATGTAAATTTTACTAAATACTTTGGCTAATGGGTCTAATTTGTATAGTTTTCCCAAAAAAATTCATATCATAGCTTGAAATCAAAACCTCTAGTTAAAAGGGAAAAAGTCCGAAGAGACAAATTAAGTATTTCCTTCACCGAGTGCAGTCTTAAGATAGCCAACTTTATTTCTATTAGTAAATAAAGTCATTGTATGTTCTCACATTATCAATCACTTAAAGGGATTATTTGGTAGAATGTATTAATAAAAATAATGCATGTATTAACTTTATGTATTTATAATATCATGTTCTGAACAACATTTTTATGCTATTTGTAACTAATACACTTTTTTGTGTACTAAGGTGTATTACTAATCCACAGATTTCTACGTATTAGTAATACAAGGAGATTTAATACATGTATTAGTATGGTTAAAGACACAATTATCCCTCAAAAATCTCTTTACATCTTTTCCACCATAATTGTGGAGGATATCTTTGTAAATAAATATTTTTATGAATGTTGACTATTTTTAATACACCAAACCAAACGATACATAAGAAATAATCTATGTATAATTAATGCAACCATAACTAATACTCCCTTCGTTCACTTGTACTTGTCACTTATTCCCAAAATAGATTTTCATTTTTACTTGTTACTTTTGACATATCAAGAAAAAATAATTTTTTTTTCATATTTTACCTTAGCATTAACTACTATTCTCCAAAAAAAAATTCAAGAGTTAATACTTACCATCAATTAATAGTGATAGTGTGGTAAAATACATATACCAATAAATAATTTTTTAATGGGTGTGCCAAGTCAAACAGTAACAAGTAAAAATGAACAAAGGGAGTACAAACATTATTAATGCAAACAATTACTAATACATTCTATTTAAAATTATTTGTATACACCCTATCAAACCATCACTTAAAAAAGTAAGTAGACGTGTGGACATAAATTGAGTGTTTTTTGAAACCAAAAAAAGAGAGTAGTATTTGAAGTCAAATTAGAAAAATCGTATTTAGGAGTAAAATTGTGTTTGAATATTCTGTTTATTTGGAGAAAAAAAAAGTTGAAACTTGGTGAGTGAAAAACGATTCACTTGAAAATTGGTCAAAATCTTTTTTTTTTTCAAATGTGAAAAACTTATCTTCAAAACTAACCAAACAATAGTTATATTGTTTCGTCAATGAAAAAAATTATTAACGAAAAAGATTTGACGTTATAGGGGTCATCATATCAACTTGTGGAACCAGCCCGGGATCAACCCTAACTCTACGTAACCTCATCTAAGACCCGCTTCTTCAGCATGAACTGACTAGTACAATTAGCCAATATAGTTTGGTCAATAGTTGAAATTTCTCCTCCATATCTTTTGACCCTCCACACCATGTCCTTAGTCTACTGCCCTAAATATACTAATGCCTCTGATCGGTTTTGATAGAATGTATGCGTCCACTATTCGTCAAGGACCAGGTCCCTTGACACAGTAAGAACAATAATTAAAATGCAAATGATAAAGTCAAAAACACAAGCAGTTTACATGGAAACCCTCTTGCTCAAGGGCGGTAAAAACCACGATTTGTACTCCCAGGATTTCAACCTAACTCCATTTCACTCAAAACGGAGCAATGTTCAATTACAAACTCTTGTAACCTAGGAATTTAACTCTAAATCCCTTCCCCATCAATGTAGTAACTCTACTACAAAGAGAACTAAGAAATAACTCTATTGCCCACTAAAACAACTAACTCTAGTTGATTTAGACTTCAACAACTCAAATAGCTAACTCTAGCTATCACTCCAAACGATACTCACTAAGAACAATCACTGATCCACTTCCTTTATAACTCAGAAAGAGATCTACAACGTGAAACACTGAAATATAAACCTAAGAAAGACTAGGAACAAAGATAACTCTATTTGGTCCCTTGTTGTTTCGCCGGAAGACATTTTAGGTGTGTGGTCTTTGCAATATTCTTCAATCCT